AAGGTCAACCCAGGGAAAACCGGCCCAAATATGTATTTCCTCAGTCATAGGGTATTCCAAGCGCCATTGCTTCACGAGAGCAGCGTCGACCAGCCGGACATCCGGCACGGTCTTGGACTGCGGCCATCTCCGCTCCACAATGCGTATGGCCGGTTTGTGAAGCTCGACAGCAATCATCCCAAGCGGCCGAATGTCTAGTACATCGTAAACTCTAAAGCACCCGCCAATACCATTAAACAATGAAATGACTAATATTGGAATTGTTCCAACGTCCCCACTCCTAATCTGAGAGCTCAAAACAAAGTCCTTCCCCTCCAAACTGAGTTCTGTTCCGATGCCCACCGCTCCCCCTTTCAACGAGGCATCCGATGCGGTGGTACAGTCATCGACCGTTGCTCCCAGGAAGGTGTGCATCAAAGGAGTGAGTAGGGTCAATTTCCACAGTTCTTGACGAGTTGCAAGGATCACGGCCGGACTCGGGTGCGTGGTTGAAATAAACTTCCAAACATGAGTGAGTATGCCCATGAGCGGTCGCCTGAATTGCAGCACGTGTACCCATCGTCCTATGATCACCTGGACTGCTTTCTTGTTCAAGAACCGGCAACACAGGAGATACAGGGTGGCATGGACAAAACGGATGAAACGATCGCCCGACGCCGAGACCGTGTGCTGACTCCCGTCAATCCAAGCCCCCAACTCCTGTGCCGACAAAGCTCCTGAGACTCTCTTCTTTGCCGATGAGACCAAGCCCGTGCGGGCCCAGACGTCCTCGACAAGGTTGTGCAGTTCGTGTCCCTTCCGGAAGTCTGGGGTGCCTTTGACTCGTTGCCCTGAACAAAAGTTGTCTAAGTACACGTGCCACCAAGGTCTGTCACGAGATTGGCTCTCATGTACGCACCCAGTGAGGAACAAGGGAAGCGACGAACCTCGGGATACCTGGGCATCTTCTTCAGCACCCCCCATGTAAGCCACCTGTTCGCTACCTCCTGCATCAACGCCACCGAACTTATCCATCCCATCGGGATGACCCTACAGGCCAAGACGTGAGTACGGGTATCGTCCAGTCCCAAGTCCGTCCCGGGGATCTTGACGTTAAAGGCCAAAAACCTAGTCCACTGTGGAGGTAAGCGGAATAAGTAGAAAGCTGCTGAAAGGTCACTTTGAAATAATCCCACGTGATCATCGACGTCAGTGGAAATCCCCAGCCAAGAAGTAATGGATGGAAGGTGCCGTACACAGCCTGAGATCGACTCCATGACCGAGTTGATTGGGACCAGGTTCATGATCAAACGCAATACACTTCGACCGTCGTCAAGCTTTGCGGACTTCTCTACTCCGAACAGGCCTGACAACACTGGTTGCTGCCGGAATTGGAACACCGTGTCTAGGGGGATCCAGGTGCAGATTTGCCTTTGCACCAACTCTAAACAAAGTGGGAGGAGTTCCTCTTGAGAACAATGGACTCTGGCTTGAAGTGACGGCAAATCTTGTCCAACGTCTTTCACTATGAGGTTGTCAGGATGCAGTAGCAGACGTTGAGTTCCCGGGGAAAGAAGTGTCATGACATCTACAGAGGCACCATGTGAACCTGGTGGGAGAGCAGGAACTACCTGGTCTCTGGTCAATTTATGGCATGTCCCCATCTCCTCCCCTGTGTAGGAAATACGAATCCCTTTTAGCTCAGCTCTGATCGCGTCAGGGGATCCAGTCGAGCGCCCTCCCAAATTTAGGAAGCGCTGGACCGCTGCACTTGAGGCGGCCGCGGCACGAGCCTGCAGCTTGGTAGTGCGGCCCTTTGCCAGCGGCTGAAGCTTGCCTTCAATGGCGTTGAGTCCCACCTTTACGCAGAATTGCCAGGCGAGGTGCTGCCAGCGATCTACGAAGAGTGGTGTCACAACTTGGGCCAATGAAGCATTCTTCAAAGCGTCCTCACAGGTGCTGAGGGCCCCTGAGGGCATAGGGAAGATCGCCCCGCGAGCCGAGACGATCTGCGGCCTGCAGCAGCGCTCAAAGACTGCTCGAGCAACCACTTTGTCAAATTCAAAAGCTGTACCGTTTGATATCCTTGCCAGCAGCCACCCCAGCGCACAACCTAGCTCTCCTAAGGTTGCTGTATTCTGTAGCACTTGGGTGAACACTTCAAGGCCTGCATGCATCAATGGTGTCTGCTCCTCCTCAACGGGCGCGGCCATTGCCAGCCCCTCATAGTGAGATGTCCCAGCTACTTGTCGCCAGTCTTCTCGGTGCTGTCCTTGTCCTTGTCCTTCTTTAGCTTTCCTTTCTTTTGTGACTTGCCTTTTCCTTTTGGCTGCCACCACGCGCCGTCGTGCTCCCCGTCGTAGTGGCTCCACTGTTGTCCTTTCTTGCCTCTTCCTTTTCCGTTGTCTGGTCGCCAGCTCAGGTTGATGTCCTGGGCCCGGCTGACTTGGCGACCATGTTTCCTTGCTGCCAACAAGACCCCATCGCTCAGGGCCGTCCCTTCCGGCATCGGCATCACCTCCAAATGCCTGGCTGAGGCCCATGAAGCGTCCAGCAATGACTGATGAATTGCCACGAGATGGCCGGCTAGGACATCTCCCAGCCTGGCTAGTTGGCCTTGGCGAAGTAAGTCGATACTGGTCGCCAGATTGTGCATCTCCCTGAGCTCCTTGGGACGGTGTGCGAAGTGAGGTCGGATCGCGAGGGCGAGGTAGGAGACCACCTTTACGCCTGAAGTGAGGTCCCCCCGAGCCGATGTTGGTACGTCCACCTCGGCGGACTGTTGAAGCTGCTCCGCAATGTGTTCCAACAGCAGGTTCAGGACCGACCCAGGGCGCTTCTGGGAGCGTTTCCTCAATGGGGCTTCCAGCTCCGCATCCTCGTCGGTCGATAGGCTCCCGCCCGAACTGCTCCTGGAGTTGGAAGAGCAGCTCACTGTCCTCCCATCCGAAAGGGTCACCTTCTTCCGGCTCCTCCTCTTCTTTTCCTTCTTTTTCTTTTTCTTCTTCTTTTTCTTCTTGTCGTCCTTCTTCTTCTTCCCATCGTCCTTGCGGCGGTGGGGCTCCTTGGACGTCCTCTTGGATGGGCTCCTGGATCGCTTCCTCTTGCCATGATGTTCTGTACCTTTGCGACTCAGCTCAGCGGTGCCGGCCGCTCGCTGTATGAGCTGGGTGTGATAGTCGCCTGTAGAACCATCTTTTATAGCCTTGGCTGCCGCTGCCCCCGTCTTGCTCCCCATCAGAGTCCCCGCTGTCAGAGGTGTCGGAGCCTGATTCCTCGGACCCAGTGGAGTCGTTCGAGTCGTCCTCGTCTCCCGAGCCCTCTCCTCCAGGGCTGGGATCTGGAGCTCCACCTGTGGTCAACTTTTGCTTCGAGCGCTTCAACTCCTCTCTCAACTTTTGAACCTTGGCCGGATCGAGTGCAGCCTTGGCACCACTGCCACCTCCAACGCCCTTGCCGGAGGGCGCCGAGGCGGGTCGAGCAGGCCGAGGCGGCTTCGGTTTTGGTGCCTTCTTTGAAAAAGGCTCCGCCGGGGGCGCAGACTCTTTGGCATCCTTCTTGGGCTTGCGGAGTGCGCCAGGCCTGAGAGCGGTCTTGCGCAATTGAGACCCATCCTTCTCCTCCTCTGCGGTCGGCTTGGTGTGCTCCTCGAGGTCGATGGTCTCCTTGGCCTCCAGAGCTTCGTCTGCCGTGGCAACACCTTGTAACCACCTGTGAGCTGATCGGATGGCACGGCTTGAAAGCCAGCCTTCCGCGCCCGGAAGCGTGTGCCAGATGAGCCTTGTGACATGCAGGCACCCAGCCTCGTCTTCGAGGCACGGGGAAGTCCCGCACAGGTGAATGCGGCCAGATCTTCGGTTGAAGCGGCTGGACAACTCCTTGTTGAGCTCGACGTCGTCGCTTCCCAAGTATTTGACCTCTATGGCCAGGGTTCCCAGCTTCTTGAGAAGCTCGGTGGACATGACCAGGAAAGGCACCCAGATTTGACTGTTGGGTACATAGTCTGTTGAGGCTAAGTCGACAAAAAGGACATCTCCCTTGAGGGGAGAAATCATACACCATTGCTCCAAATTGTTCAAGTTGAATTCTTCTCCTTCCTCGTGAGGCCTGCCAGTCATGGCAGACGGCTCAAGCTGTCCTGGCCCTTGTCCGTCGCTAAGGTGTCCAGGTAGTGATTTGAAAGCTTGATGTGCACTGGGGTTGTAGGGTCTTGTTCCAACCTTCCCAACCTTTGATGCTTGCGTCCAGCTCGATGGCGAGGTTTGTTCGGCTTGTGGCTCCCTGGATGTGCTCCTGAGTGCCTCCGCTTATGGTCACCTGTCTGTCGATGATGCTCTCCTCGTCGTTCTCGCTGCTTCCTGAGATGGGGTGGCGGACCGTCTGGCTCCGGCGGACGTCGATGGTCTTTGCCAGCCAAAGGTGCCAACGTCTGGTCTGCACCTTCCTCTTCGCTCTCCTCCTCAAACTCGCCGGTCTCTGACTCCTCGTCCTTTGGTGGATCAGGCTGGCTCTTGGCCTTGGCCCCGGTGTCCTTACTGTCCTGACCAGGAGGCTTGCGCCTCTTGAGCTCCGGCTTGTCGCCAGCTCGTGATGTACCGTCCCCCTCACGCTTCTGCCCTGAGGCCTGTGCAGCTGATCGCTTGGCCGAAGTTGCGAAGAGCACGGACCTGTCGAGTACAAGAGATCACCAGGTCCTCCACCAGCTTTCTCGACCCTCCTGGCCAGCTGCTGCACAGCTCACGGCCCAGGGCCTCGTGCCCAGCACACGCCAGGCACCAGGTATCGCCCTCTGCTGCCGCAGATTGGCGACACCTATTGCACCACCCCATGAACCCAGCTTTTTGAGCCGAGCGGCAACCGGGAGATTCACCTCACCTGTCAAAAGACAACATTTCTTGGCGGAGCCCTCGTGTTTGATTAACAGATGGAAAATGATGGAAAGCATTTTGTGTAACACCCCATTTTCTGGCTGCAAACAGCATCTAAACCATCCTCTCCCCATTTTCTCCCCTGAACCCTACCTGGCAACAGGCCGCCACAGTGGTGGCGCCGCTCATGACTTTCGAGTATTCCGTCTCGCCACACACCGCTCCAGCCGAAACTGTTGTGCTTAATGCGCAGGACATGAGTTTTTCACCGTCGCACCTGAGATCTGCGCTAGCACGGCTCCAACAAACTTCAAGTCACTCAAGTCAAATTCAGAAAAAATAGACCTGGCATGACCTTTGTTGCCAGGTCAAGGATTGGCTAACAGTTTCAACGTTAGGGGGGCCACTAGCAATGCCAAGTGGGACCAAACAGCTGAATGTAACTTCCCTTGGTACATGACCGACCTGCGATCCCCGCATCCTCCCACTCCGTCCGCAGTCTGACGCCAGAAGACCCACACCCTTTCAAAAGCCCCGTCATGGCCAGGCCGATGATGGCAAGGACCTTCCACATGGCCGAGGTGGGTCGCGGGAGCGTACTGGAGCGGATCGACCAAAGCAGGTCGTTGGAGCTGCGTCTTTGCACTGAGCCAAGAGAGGTCGAGCGAACGCGCCGCGCTTCGGGGCCAACGCGCCGAGCTTCGCATCGCGGACGGCCCAGGGCGCCGAGCTTCGGCTTCGTCTCGGACCCCCGATCGACGCGGTTCAGCGGTTCAGCCCGGGCGGTTCGACTCATGGTTCGGTGCCGAGTCTTCGAGGGCAGTTGAGTCTGTTGAGGTCGAAGAACCTTCCGAAGATCCGGATCTCGACTTGTGATCGGACAGCTACTGCGGGGGAATGGGAAATCCGGAACCGGATCCACCACACGAATGCAAAGCACGTGATCAACCTGGATTCAGAATGATCCAAAACACCTGTACACTTGTTAGTTAGGGATTTTAGCTATAGTATGTCCAATGCAAAAAACGGTAAAGAATAAGTTGGGACTACCCCGTAAGGAAGATTTTAAGTCAAAAACGAAACCCTGGTCCAACCGGTCCGTAAATGAGGGATTTGAAGTTATAAGTCAAAACTATCTGGATTTGTTTCGAGAAAAACACAGGTCGATGATGATTGAAGTGTCAATTAAAAACTCTTAAAAGAAAGCAAGAAGAAGACAGATCGATGTTACTATGTTGATTGATTCTTTAGAAAAAACAACCATCATCCATCAATCGATGTGTCACTTTGGGAGGATTTGTCATTGAAAAAAGCCTCCTCTCGGTTCCCCCCCAACACTTGGGGGCTTAAGTATTGGACCCGAAGACAGTCCATTGGACCCAAAGTCGGCCCGGCAGACCCGCATCCTTTCAGAAGCACCGCCAAACCAACAGCACCGAGCACTGCGAGGAGTCGAAGCATCAGAATCAGCATGGCCAGTTCGGTTTCGATTGGGCGGAACCGCTGAAGGATGGGAGCGGATCTCAGCTGATCTCAGCGATTTTTAACACGTGAAGTCCGTCAAGTCAAACGAAAAAATGAAAACCTGGCTGAGGTCAAGGATTCGCTCCAGTTTCAAGGATTGGGGGGCTCCGTTTTTGCGCCCAAAGTGACACAGGACACATACAACTCCCCTTAGTTCTTGAGACTCTCAGCTCCAAAATCCTTTGGAACTTGGGGGATGTTGGCAGCTCAGTTCTCCTGCCTCTTGGAGCCCAAAAAGGCCACTCCTTTCGACTCAAACGGCGGCGGTGGAAGGCATGGACCGTTGGGCCGTTGGACCGTTGGTGCTCCACCAGTGACGTCCGTGCAGAAGCAGAATGGTTTTTTCCAAAGCAGCACCTTGTATGGGCTTGAAAATGGTGCATGTGGAGGAAATCTGTTGTCAACTGGAGAACCACATAACCCTATGGTTGTTACCATGTCATTCAATAAGACCTTTGGAACCTCCGAGTATTACGCAAGTTAAGAAAGACCTTTGGTACACGTAAAAGGACTAGGACCGCAATCGGCCCATCAGCTGGCTCCTTTTCAACCACAGCACAGTCCGCCAAAATCGGCGTACCAAAGTCAAGGGGAAGGAGCCACTTTGGGCAAAAGCATGGAAGATGGCAACTGTTTGCAAGAGAACATTTGTTTCTACTTGACGAACCAACGGACTTGGATTTGCATGTGTCAGTAAGCATCTTCCTTCAACTCTGGTCTCACCGCTCAGCATCTAGTGGCAAATACACCAACTGTTTCACAGTTTTCAACGCCATGCTCCAAGCCATCCATAATCAAAGCCTCAAATGATTGCACATTCAAATTCATCAAATTTGATTAAATTGGAAAATCACCCCTTGCAAAATCACGGGTTTTTCCACTTGCATGTGAGTGAGTGAGTGAGTGAGTGAGTGAGTCATTCAAAGTGTACACACTCAGACTCAAACTGATGTTGAATGCAAAACCACTTTGGAGTTCAATGATACTGATTGTGATTAGCGCCGTCTATTGAATACCTGTGATTCTCTGGCGAGTTCTTCCATCAAGAGTAACACTCACCCAGGCATTTTCCTAATCATGTCGTTTTGCAGCTGCCAAGCCACCCAGAAGGTGATCGGGTCACTTAGTTTCCCGCTGACGGGGCAACCGGTTGCCTTGTCCCTTTCAGCGCATTCCGTATTGCAATCACAACCGTCCAAATAGCAATCCTGAGCCTCTTTGAGGGCCTGGCAGCGCATTCCAAATGACGACATCAAATGACTGAATCAAACATCCACGGATTTTCATCAAGGCGCTGCAAACAAGATCTCATTGGTATGGATTGAATATATATATATATATACACTATATATATATGTGTGTGTGTGTCTTTGTTATCATCTGTGTTATACACATTATGTTTTAAATATCAAAGTGTACAAAGACAAATTTTGCACATATTTGTACAAGCTCTAAATCACATATACTACATATATATATATAATACATATACATATACATATATATATATCCGCATATATATATATATATGTGAAAATCAAATATACACAACCAAAAAACAATATAAAAACACCTTATCGACGCTGCAGAGCGCCTTTTCTCCCTTGAGCCAGAATCATTGAAGGCCTTCGTCAAGACTGTACAAGCGGAGTACATATGGGCTATACATTTCAACACTCCTCCTCTTGCGAAGAGATTTAACTCTGAGTAAGCTATACAAACAAATGACAGTCCATCTCTCCCATTGGCCTTTGCTCCTGTTGTCGAGGAAGATGTATTGGAGATCTTCCACCGTCTTCCGGAGCTGGACTCCAGGGACTGACTTGGTGATGGAACGTCAGCCTTGTTCTTCTTTCCAGGGACATGGGCAACTTTGAGGTCTCTCCTGTGGCCACAAGTACCTCGTTTGGATATGGCGCGCCTTGCCAAATCCAACTCTCTGTGCAGTGCCCTTGGCGGCAGTTGAATCTCCTTCCACCGCCCAAGGGCGTCCTTCCAGTCCTAGTCCAAGATCTTTGCAGAGGCTCTGCAATCCCAGACCTGTTGAACTGCCTTTCACTAGGGCATAGTATTCACTTTCTCCAGTTGAAAGGGCGAACGTTGACTGGACATTGCTGCTGTGCTTGGGCACACGGGCGCCATCTCTTTCAACCGCCGCAATGCCGGGACGAGACGGTCCGTCTTCCGGCCCCTTACCAGGCCGCTAGTGAAAAGGCTCTACTGCCCCTTGTGGGGGATGGTGCGAACCTCTGAGGTCTCCTTGACCTTTGATCCGCTGCTGCTTGCCAACTCTGCAGGTGGCCTTCCGAAGGATGGCTCACCCTCTGTTGCCTCCTCTTTTGCCGGAGGCTTGGCAAGCGTCTTGGTGCGAGCGCTTGCTACCGCTGGATTTTCCTCGCAGCGGGCGCCCTTTTTAGTCCACGGGCTTTGATATATTCGATGGTTTTGGCGCGCTGCTTCACCGTGCGCTCGTCACACGAGCTGGGCGACTCGAGTTTCCACTTGGCAATCTCTTGCTCTTTTGCGGCCTCGTTGGCCAAATCTTTGACCCTTTAGTTCGAATTAAAAATGGCTCGGACCCAAACTTCGCGGCCCTCAACTTGTCGCGGCTTGCCGGCCGCTGTACCGCTCTGATGGCAGTCTACCTTGCTGCTGAGCGCAACCTCAACGGGCTTCTTGGCCGCAACCGCACTCGGGATGGGCTCTTAGGAGATTCTTCTTCCTCCTCTTTTGGCCCTTCTTCACGATCCCTTTCGGCGGCTCTTCGAACTTTGTGCCGTTCCTTTTGCTCCTCACGCTCCTCCTTGATCTCACTCAACCGCCGCTATCGGCCGAAATCCTTGACCTTATCCTTGAGCTCTTGTGAGATTGCTCCTCCTTTCTTGCTTTGGAACCTGATGTAATCTTTCAAACTGCGATACGTGGCTTCTCAATCTAAATCCAGACCCCAATTCCTTGAGCATTTCCACCAAGCCGTTGAACCTTCTTTGGTTTTGCCTCTGTACGCCACGGGGTAGTTGCGATTGCCTTTTCTGCCTTGCCGTGCAATCTGCTGGACGTCAATTCCCAGCCGTGCCTTGTTCCGTCTGGTCTGTATGTTCGTCTCCCAGCACGGATGGCAGCTTCTCTTCTTGCTGCCCGGCCAAATCGGCCGCTTGGTCAGGATCACCTGGTTGAGAAGGGGCGCACTCTTCCAAACCTCCTTCTCCCTCCTTCTCCTCCTTTTCCTTTTCAAATCTTCTTCTTCCTCTTCAAACTGTTCTGTGGTGATCTCGGTTTCACGCAATTAGTCAGGCAAAGGTTCCTCCTCTTCTTCTTTCTTTTCTTCCTTTTCCTTCTCCTCTTCATTCTTTTCCTCGGGTTCAGTCGCTGGTGCGGCCGGACCGACCTCCGACACTGACCCTACCTCTTCAATCCACTCCTCCTCTGAGGATGGTTCGGCTTTACTATGCCGCTCTTCTTTTGTTCTCAACGCGTGGTCCCTTTCACTCTCACCGGGCCTTCGCGCTACCATCAAAACACCTTATCGACGCTGCGGAGCGTCTTTCCTCCCTTGAGCCAAAGACAAGTATATATGGGTCATACATGTCAACACTTTTTTTAATATATTGTTTTCTTAGTTTATTTATGTATATATTGTTTTTTGTGCGTATACATCAAGTATTTTATATCATATAAAAAAAGTCCAGATATAGTGATTGATCAATGCGCGCGATATGAAAAATATTTTTACACTAGTACAAGATATAGAAAGGATATACACTGTGGAACGTGCATAAAATAGAGTAAACCAAAACTATATATGTTTAAAGAAAAGTTTTGAATATGCTACATTTTATATATATATATAATTGGTACTACATCTTACAATATACAGTGTACATTACATTGTCATGTACAATTTACTATTTAATTTTGCAACTGTCCATATCTGATCATAAGAACATAGATATGTTTGCTGTATTCTAGAGCCTACAGACTATATATATACGTATTATATGTGATTGACACTCTAATTTATATATATATATATTGACTACATAGATGACAAAACGAATACATCAAAAATACACTGATATTGGATACCGTGCGCTATAGCATAGTATTGCAACCCCTAGTGCCTAGTAAGAACACTGGGAGACCCCTAACTACGGTATATATATATATATATTTGTGTTTAAGCTACCGCCCTTTAAGCCCGCTACTAAACTACCAACATGGTCGATTTGGTGTAGTTACTTAAATTAGGTTCCAACAGCAACCCCAACTGTCCACCCTGTCTGTCCACCATCATGCACCGCATTTACACCAGCATGTTTTTCTTCCCGGAATAGCATGTATTGAGGCAAACCGAGGCCGCGCAAAACCGCATGGCACCGCGACATCACCTTTCGAAAGCTTTAGTTGTTAGTCTAATGAAGAATAACTATGTTGACAAAGGGTCTTTGTAACCGAACTGGAGAGTTGTCCTATATGTTTGATACGAGTTTAATAAAGGATTTTAAATGTTTAGAAGTCCTAGGCATTTTTCGGTTTTCAAGCTCTTCCCAGGTGTCCATCTTCGCGGGTCCCCCTACTTTGCGGGACCCACTATCCAAAAAAGAAGACGCACCGGATTCTTTTATTGGCGGAGGGGCCCTCGTGTTTGATTAATTGATGGAAAGCATTTTGTGTAACACCTCAATTTCTGGCTGCAACCAGCATCTAAACCATCCTCTCCCCATTTTCTACCCTGATTCCTACCTGGCAACAGGCCGCCACAGTGGTGGTGCCGCTGATGACTTTCGAGTATCCCGACTCGCCACACACCGATGAACTCGCAATTGCTTTGGTGGTGGCGCAGGAAATGATCTTGTCACGGTCGCACCTGAGATTTGCGCTAGCACGGCTCCAACAAACTTCAAGTCACTCAAGTCAAATTCAGAAAAAATAGACCTGGCATGACCTTTGTTTCCAGGTCAAGGATTGGCTAACAGTTTCAACGTTAGGGGGGCCACTAGCAATGCCAAGTGGGACCAAACAGCTGAATGTAACTTCCCTTGGTACATGACCGACCTGCGACCCCCGCATCCTCCCACTCCGTCCGCAGTCTGACGCCAGAAGACCCACACCCTTTCAAAAGCCCCGTCATGGCCACGCCGAGAATGGCAAGGACCTTCCACATGGCCGAGCTGGGTCGCGGGAGCGCGTCGTACTGGAGCGCAGGCTTGCTGAGCGGAGCAGGTCGTTGGAGCTGCGTCTTTGCACTGAGCCAAGAGAGGTCGATGGGGCGAGCTTCGGCTTCGTCTCGGACCGCCCGGGCGGTTCGGCTGGTTCAGCCACTGCGGGGGAATGGGAAATCCGGAACCGGATCCACCACACGAATGCAAAGCAGATGATCAACCCGGATTCAGAATGATCCAAAACACCTGTACACTTGTTAGTTGGGGGATTTTAGCTATAGTATGTCCAATGCAAAAAAAACGGTAAAGAATAAGTTGGGACTACCCCGCATAGGGTAAATTTAAGTCAAGAACAAAACCCCGGTCCAATGTTGCTTGATGCTTTAGAAAAACAACCATCATCCATCAATCGATGTGTTCACAGCCGTGTGGCAGCCGAACCACGTGGTCGAACCACGTGGTCGATCTGGATCGGTCCAGATCGGCCCGAAGTCCATGCGATGGTCCACGTATGTCCACGTCTATGGACGGTGTCACCTTCGGCAAAAGGCGGAAGTCCCCATCCTTTCATGTTGTCTTTCGTTTTAGGGGTGGGGAACGGGTGGGTGAGAAGCCTTATGTGACAAAAGCCTCGCTTGAGTGAAAACGGAAGCCCCCAGGTCCGCCGGTCCCGCCCCACCTGCCCCAAGCAGTCGCGCAGCATCCTCGCCGACCTCGGTGCGAGAACAAACATGGTCGGATGAGGAAACAAGAAAGGGGGGGGTGGCAGACCACCTCGTTGGCCACTCCCTTTGTCCCCTCATCTCATGTGGGTGTGTATGTTATATCCAGTTCTCGCTGGGTAGACCAGTCGATGTTCCGGTTTGGTACCATTGCCACGCCTGGGGGGTCGTGGCTTGCCACACCTACGCCGCTACGCCTACACCGAGGGCCAAAAGGTCTCCCCATTTGTTCGCCCATCTCCCCATCTCCCGTGACCTGTGGGAGAGGGTGCTGGACCGGCGTCTGGTGCTGGACCGGGAACCAAACCGGTCCAGCACCAGACACGGCCGAGCGTGTTCGAGGAGCCAGGATAGGGTCGGATCTCGAGCCCTAAGCAGCTGAGAGGTCCAAGACAGGTGTTCATTGTGACAGCCATGTGTCTGGGTTGACAGAGGTTGTTCAGAAGCCCAGGCTATTAGGCTATCCCAGTTGGGTACCTCAGGTTAGGGGTCCTAAAATTAAGGTCACTGAACTTCTCTTGGATGGTTTATAGCTGCCCTAAACAGATGGAACCGGTGTTGTACCAGGCACACTGGCCACAAACCGAGGCCGTACTCATTCCCCACAGACATCACTACGAGGACGCGGAGGACTAGAACATGGACTGAAACACGAAGCTGGAAGCAGAACACTAGGAGGACATGGGACTAGCAATACTATTGTAGTACTAGGAGGACTCAACATGGACTGGTGAACTCGAAGCTGGTGCATTGTCGTCGACTGGGAGGATTCGGCCAATCCTCGTCGCATTCGGCGGCGTATCATGATGTGGATCCAGACACCGTTTGTACTAGTCAGTTGTAGTCAAGGACAAGAACGGCTCTTGGAATAGGGCAAAAAATAAGAACATACCCCGCTTCAGGGCCCCAGGACAAGTCAGTGTGGTGCCTTTTCTTCTCCTTCCCTTCGCCCTACACGACGAGAAACTCGGCGTCCCGGGTCCCGAGTTTGGGCTCAGTTCATCCACTGGCCGGTAGCACTCTTGGCGAGTTCATGGTGTAGACCCTGAGCTCGTCCGTCTGTTCCCCCATGGGTCCGGACGCTGGTCCATCCAGCCAGCCCAAGAACCTGCCATCAGAGGTTCTGTCCCAGATTATCGAACGATGGGATAGAACACTGTTCGGGTCCTGAAAAAACCTCTGGTGTGCGTGTGCAAGGAGGAGGTGGATGGTACTAACTGCTTAGAGATGTTTCGTTAGGTGGGGATGGAGGTTACTAACTGTACTAACTAGGTGGGAAGGTTACTGGTCAGATGGAGTGTGGATGGTATGTGCTTGGAAGTCGGTCCTGGACCAATTCCAAGACATTCCAAAGCTGGTCCGACTGCAAGGTAACCGAAAAAAGGAATCAAGGATTTTCCCAAATGCCCGAACTGGTGGTCGATCAGCTGAAATCAGATCCAGTACTCCTCCAGTACTTCACCTGAGTCATTTTTCTTCCCAAGAGAGGTTACAAGTGAGCTTAATGATATGATTCGTAACCTGAGGTACCCAACTGGGATAGCCTTTTTGGGGCTCTGAACTCAGAAAAGAATCTGAAACGGCACCCCCCCATGGTGCCCAGTCAGCGCACCGGTCATGGGGGGGGGTCCAGCCGTGGCTTCCAAGAACTCTCTTACGTAGCCCATGTGGCGGCCCAAGGCTCTGGCCGTGGCTAAGGGGCCGGATTCTGTAGGGTCACAGCTTCAGATGTGTTCCATGTGCTTCCACACTTCGCTTCCCTTCGCTTCCCTTTTGCTTCGACCCTGCCTGCCCATGACTTCGACCCTGGCAGCGACGAAGTCAAAGATTCTTTTTTCAGACAAGTGCAGAAAGTGCATGTGGTATGGGTGTTGCAGTTGCACAGAGTCTTTTCCCAAAAAAGAGTCATACACTTTTAATAAGATGGTTGAAACATCTTGCTGTGTCCTCTTTCTAAACCAACCAAACCACCCCTGCAGCCCAGGGCCGCTGCTTCGCGGGTTTCACCCGCAATTCCAGGTCTCGAGGTGACGATGTTCAGGTGGTTCATGAGTTTGGAGGTGTCTGAAATTCAGGAGTCTTCCAAAACCCAAACAAGAAAGGACGTGACTCCGCTTGGAGATTGTGGCATTCAGTTGGGGGGAATGAATAGTCAATAGTCAATAGATGTGAATAGTATATAAACAGATTGTATATTAGATCGATAGATGACAACCACTCCCCCTGCCAAGAACGAATTGGTACCGTGATACTGTCGGAAACCTGTGAAACACCATGTCGGAGCAACCAACGAATTGCTAGAATCTCTCGGATCTCCATTTCAGCCTCCGAAGCCGGACGAGACGTCGACTTCAAACTGCAAAGGCCTAGTTAAACACAAGGCATCCTTGAAGATCATTGAAGCAATTCACCTACCCAGCCATCAGAAAATGGTCCCAGCCATCAACTGAGCCGAAACCCCATCTCTTTCCATCTGAAACCGCACCTCTGCACACCCATGCGCCAGGCACGCTCCAGCACCGCCAGCGCCGACGCGTCGGGGCGCGTTTCGGCCGCCAGCGCCAGCAGCAGCTCCGGGGCGATCCTCGTCCGGGGTGGCTGGAAGGGGGGGTTAAGAGATGATCTTGGAAGGGGTCGGAAGAAGGAAAGCCTTTGAAGACCCAAAAGGGGTGTGACTTCCAGGGAGCAGAAAGTGGCCGATGTGGCCTACCCTCGGAAAGCTGAAGAGTTTTCAAGGGAATCGTCCGTTTTCATGACACAGTACGTGGAGTTTTTCATGAGTTGGAATCGTGCATTGGTTCAGACGAGCCGACCGCTTCAGGGCCCTATTTTGTGGCCCTCATTTGAGGGCATCGAGGTCTGACTCATTCATGACGAGTTTGGGTCACGAATCCATCCCCCAAACCACCTCTAATCCTCTCAGCCGGCAAAGGACGGGGGCCCAAAGGTGGATCAGCCACGGAATTCCAGGGCGGCTGGAGCACGGAGACAAAGGTCGGAATCCAACTCAATTCACACCCTTTCACCACCAAAAATGACCTCAAAATACCACCCAACTATCTGTGATCCTTCCCTGGGATCGACCAGAAAATCTGTCCACCCATCCTCCTCCATCGATCGGTCCCCGGTCCTCTCAGGGCCTGGGCGCAGCCTCCCGGCGCGGGCGTAGAGCGCCTGCCACTCGCTGGTGGTCGGCCATTCCGGGCTCACGACGTGGGGCTCCAACGCGCAGGCGTGGACGAAGTCCTGGCCAGGGCGCTTCGGTGGTGGCGGGAGCTTCGGTGGGAGCGGTGGTGCTTTCGAGGTGTGGAAAACGATGGTGGATGCCCCAGAATTCGTGAGTGCACGGTCGCTCAGGTTTGCCCAGGTCGCTTGGCCGACTTCGGAAGGTGGATGTGTCCAAGGTCTTGGCCAGGTCTTATGCTAGACTGGCCAGGTCTTGGCCAGGTCTTATGCTAGACTGGCCACGTAGGATCTTCTTGCCCGGTTGAGCTCAAAGGCCTCCATGGTATTTAGAGATCTATCCCAGCCCGAAGGCTCCAGGCTCCACGGGAATCCGCTCGGATGGTTTCAGCTGGCCGAAACGGAGAAAACGGAGGGTGGATGGCCTCCACGGAACTGGTGAACTAGGCAGTGTGACCATCTGGGCATTCGTCCTTCACAAACACCTCCAAACACCGTCTCATTCCTTTCCCTGTTCCTTTAGCAGCAAAAGACCACAACCACTCTAACCACTCTACAACCACTTTAAAGCACGAAAGACCACCAGAACATCTCAGACCAAGTTCCAGCAACCCAAAGCTCTGGCCTCACTGGCCTCACATCTTGGCATGCTCAACCCAGAGCATGGTACAAGGCCATGGAATTTGTTCTTGTCTTTCCCATCTTTATCGGTCTCTATCCTGGGTTCTGCATCTTCCCGCCTCAGCTGCCACACGCGCCAGCCCACTGCTGCGCCGCCGCCCCACCACATGCTCCAGCGCATCTACCCGGAGCGCGGCCAACGCGGCATCCGCGCGCCACAGCACGGCCTGTGCCGTGCCGGGCGCGTGGCGGAGCAAGGCGCAGAGCTCCTGAAGGGACCAAACGGATCTGTTGGAGCAACGAAAGGAGTTGCCGTCCGCTGGGAAGCATGTGTTTCCAAAAATACTCCCTAGCGCTCGATCAGGATGTCCTCAGTTATGGGAATTCGCCCATGAGGAAAATGATGAATATAGAATTTGTAAAAATCGCCCTAAGCAAAACCAAAGTGGAGTGCGAAGGATTCTTGGCGGGAGTCCGAGTCTGGTCCGATCGGCGGTGGGGTTTTGGCAAATAAGAGGGGGTTGGTCTGTGGAGTGTGTGGAGATCTTTAAAGCTCTAGGCCATGGCCACAAGAGAGGGAAAACTCAGACTCATTAAGGATGAAGATCGGTGCGAAAACTTCAATTGCTATCAATCGTTCATGAGCCAAACTTGCGGAGCAGCTGGCCCCAAACCCCTCCAGAAAAGGGCAGACATTCACCATTCACCGTACAGAAACGCCCAGTACAGAAACGCACAGCGCCTGGAACGTGAGCTCTTGCACACTGATTTGCACCTGGACCTGCCCGACGGTCGCACAACGGTGGGCCCGGTAGGCGACTGCGGAACGGTCGGACCACACGGTCAACGTGGGCGACAACGACGTGCCATGAGGCCAGGGGGCCAACAGGGCTTCGAGAATGAACCCCACCCTAAGAATCCGGGCCCTCAAACACATAGGGTTTTGAGGGTCCGGACCCCTGCTATGGAGGGTCCGACCCCTGCTATGGAGAGCCCAAGGATTCTTAGGGCAATAAAGATCCATCAACGTCCGTCCATCAAAAGGAACCTCGTCTACCCCGGTCCTCGCAGGATCCGCGGAGCGGAGACGGCGGGAGCGGCGGAGACGGCGCGCCTGACTTCCTCCGAAGTGGGCCGAGAGCTCCCACGAAGCCTGGAACGCCGCAAGACCCGGCGTCGCGGCAACGAACGGTCGGGCAACGTGGAGGCACCGTGGAGTCATCGCGGAGTCATCGCGGAGCTCGGCCACCGAAGCAAAGATCGGAGATGACGTCAGACGTCTTCACAGCTGAGAAGATCGTCATCTGGAACGTATTGTTTCACAAGTGTGGGACAGCACTTTAACGCATGAAAGCTCGTAAAGAAGCAGGAAGAAAGCCAGGTTCTTCGCCCAATTCGCTTCGTTGGAAGTTCGCCTCCAGCTTCGTGAGCCCCGCGGCCAGCCGCGGGCGCAGCTCGGTGGGATCCTCGGCTCTGTGGGGTCCAGCGCGGGACTGAAGTGATTCTTCACTCGATCCTGATACTTTATAGGTCCAGATCCATTATAACTATCATTGTAACTAGTGATCTTGAAGTTCGCTTCGAGAAATTGAATTAACTCAAGATCCATCGACGCAACTGTATCGGTGTACTCCTGTTCATTTGGGGGATAGCTCTTGTGGGCTGAAAACGAACACCTTGGAAAAGGTTTCTCACCGACCTTGCTGACTCACATCCGGTCAGACCATCGACCCTGTCAGACCATCCAGAAGATGGGGCTCTTGGGCTGACGGCATGGCGTGGCCTTGCACAGGGAGAAAGAGCAGCCTGAACCAGGGTGGTAACTGCCCCCCCCTGGGCGGAGTTCCACGTGTCTTTGTTCCGCCACTCCCAGCACTCCTGTCCCTTTTTTCTCCACATGATGGCTCTGGTGAGATGCAGCTATAGTTAAAACGTGTTAAAACCTTGCTACATCCCTAGTGTTCAAGAGTCATACCCATCCAACCCTCTTTCAACCAACCCTCTTTCAACGCTACTGTACCTCTTCGCCCACTCTGCTGGCTTGCCAAGACGCCATGCTTCGCCCATACTTCAGCAGCAACATCTCCTCCAACACAGCCATCACCGCCCACTGAAGATCCTCCTCCACACCAGCACGCTTCGCATCCGTGCGAGCGCCCGCGCCGGCGCGTTCCTCGCCCGCGGGCGCGCCCGCGGCGCCGCGGCTCTCGAGCTGCACGGCCTCGCGGGCGAGGCCGATGCCGTGGTGGTCGGTCGGAAGTCGTGGTCGTGGGACACGAGGACCGCCGTGTCGAAAGTGAAGGGGTTGCCATGGACGCCGGGTGATGTCTTTCTTTTACTCTCTTTTCTTTTGTATTTCTCGTTGATTTGTTATTTTCGGGAGAATGTGAAGGTTGAGTACAATGGGTTGAACAGTCTCAAAGTTCCAATGGCTGATGCCTTCTCACTCACAAACAGTTGCAAACACCAGGCGAGGATCTGGCAAAGCACCAGCCACTTGGAGACTTGGATGATACTTGGATGATACTTGGATGATACTTGGATGCTTTCCGTACACTGGGGCGCCGTTGACTGTGGCCACCTGTTGGCTTCCTGAGCTGCCCAAACGAGCTGTTCTTGAGGATGACTTAAGCAATTAAAGTACCTCTTCTTCAGCTATAGATCAAGATCAATGATGCTAAACTGGAGGTATTTTCAACAGCTCCACCCACCTCAAGAACTATGCCAACCACAGCAAGAGCAGCTTCTTATGGTGTCCTCTTTCTGTGACCTTTCACCACTATGCCCGTCCTCCACCCACCTTTCACGGTGTCGGGTGGTGTCTTTTCCGGGTCCGCCTCCAGCTGCGCCGAGCTCGGCGGCGCCCTCTCCTTGGGCAAAGGCCCAGCACCTGGCGGGGGCACCGTGGTTCGGCACACCCGTTCGCGTGGTTCGGGCGAGTCCGTAGGTCTCCCCCAGGTGATGAGGACGTGCGCCGGACCCCTTGTAAATCGAACCAACTTACATAAAGACCTTAGGGGAAACCAATGGGCCCAGCCCTCACAACCCAGGGCTAGGGCGGTTCGCCTTCCAAACCTGATGTGAGCACCGGTAGCAAAGAACAAGAAAGAAAAGAGCAGCCAGTAATTGAAGAATCCCCAGACACGACACGTCTGGGACTGCCATAGGACTGCCGATCAATTGACCCCTCAAACCACCCCAGTCCCATGGGCCATATATGCCGACATTGACCCCTTGTCAACCAGCCCTGGCCGTTTCTCGGCAGTCCTATACCAGTCCCAGACGTGTCGTGTCTGGGAATACAGAAAGAGGGCCCAGGCGTGAGGCGTGAGCACAAGGGTTATCCAGTTATGATAGGCCAGTGGTGTTGTGACGGCGCGCCCAACCAGTCACCTTGACAGAAGGCATGTATATATTGAAAACAAAGAATCATTGCGATGGTGTCTGGAAAACCCCCATCAATTAGGGTATGATATGTGTGTGTAATAATTTTGGCTTGAGGGTTTTGGCATGTTTTGGCCTTGAAGTACATGTAAAAACAGCTAGACCTCCTTGGTCAGCAGCTTCTACCCAGGTGAGTCTCAAGGTTGCGTCGCGTTGCCAGCTGGAGAAATCGCCAACGAGGCGTTCAGAAGCATCGCGGAATGAACATGTTGACATCCAGAAACGAATCCCCTAGATGTGTTCGATCCCCATTACGTAAAACACACAAACCAGTGGGTATCGATGTGTGGGCAGGTGGTCACTTCTTGGGGATTAAGGATGTTCATCAACCTCCTTGGGGTGTCAGACTTCTACAAGCAATTCATCCAAAGCTTCGGACTGAACGTGTCGGACCTTTGCGGTGTCAGACTTCTCCGAACCCACAGTCCAACCTCTCAGACCGCCACACCCAACGCAGCCAGGCCCCCCACCTGAGGACGGCCTGGCGCCGGCCACGCGACCGTGACCGGGACGTTTCTCGTCGAAGCGTAGCGACGGGTGCCACGCCACGCCGTGAAACCCAACGGAAAGGAAGGACAGATGAACCCAACGGTGGATGAATCCGGCAAAAGCAGGATTCTTCGACCTCTACACATGGGTGTCATATATATATATATATATGGGTGTGCTTCATGGGTGTTCTGCATGTCATATATATGGGCGGCTCTTCTAAATAATTTAACCGTCAGCATTATTCTCGATCTTCTAAGCTCCGGGTTCGCCGGCGTGCATGCAATCTAATGTGCAGAGTCCCTGGGGCAGACGTTGTTCCTGAAAACCTGCAACAATGCCTTCATGAGGGACGTCCTGTCATGGCTTCTGCTTTTGGCCTTTCCGTGTATGCACCACCTGCACAAGCTGAAACCTGAGGACTTTGACACAACTGAACCCTGGAGCAGAAGCAGTTGAAGTTTGACACAACTCAGATGCTGCACAAGGACCTGCGCAAAAACCAACATGTGGCGTTAAAATGGTCTCTCTTGAATCTGTTCTCCACCTTGTCTCCCACAGAAACAAAACTCATGAACTCCAATTGCAAGCATTGAACCTCAAAAAACCGCCTCCTCCAACGCCCTGCCCCGCCCGCTCGTACGGCTCGGCTCCGGCCCCTCCTTGCACCGGACGGCCAGGAACCGCCAGGAACCGGCTCCAAGACCGGCACCGCGACCACCTGGCGGCCATAGCAATAGATTATATAAAAGATTATGATAAGAAAAACTAAATAGTATTTCAAACATACATCAATTATATAATGATTACTAACAGAATCTAACAGATAAAAATAGAGCAACCAAAGTGCAAGACTTCCAGACGTTCGGCATGTTCCAGACGTTTCCCAACTTTCAGCGGCGCTTGGTGGTTTCGCTCGCTGTTTCAGTTTCAGGGCCGGTTGATCAAGACTTTGAAGAAGCACTTGAGCAGGCACCCTACATCCCTTTGTCGCTTCCCACGAAGCTAGCGTAAAGCCTACTTATAGGATTTTTTGGCCCTGTGGAACATCTTCGAATGGAGGCCGACCAACAGCTTCCTGCCAGGATCGGCACCAAGATGTGATTCCTTTCGACGAGTTTCATCTGTCAATCATGTGGCAAATGACACACCCTGCGGCCCTGCGGCCCTGCAACAATCGATGGTTTCTGTGGGAGTTCGCTCCCCCCCCCGGTGAGTAAAAGTCGGATTTCATGGTCTTTCGAAAGGGCCATGCCATCCACGTAACCATGATCGTTGCAATTAAGTAGTAAAAAAGGGTGAAACACAACAAAGGCACAACGATTGTCATCCAAATGAGAAAAAAAAACGGAAAAATTTGAGACAACTAAAAGTATACAAGAGTGGATCAAAACACGTTGAGGCGCGGAGAAGAGGCTTACTTTGAAGCGGTCTTTTTTCACCACGTTGGGCACCGAATCGGATCGAACACCGCTCGGGCCTCCAGGCCGGAGCGATCCAAAGAGCCTGGCGAGCGAGACGAGGCGCACGGGAAGACACGTCTGGGGAAGAGAAGAAGGGGGGGGCTCGAACCGGCTGGGGGGGTTCGTGGGGTTCGTGGTTCATGAACCATGTTCTTTCAAGCGGTGAAAGTGGAGGGGGGTTTCTTTCGTTGCGAACCCCTGGGGTCCACTGGAGCGACCTGCTACGGTCGCAAGAGTTTGCTCGACCTGCAGACATCTGCGGATCACTGCGGATCCCTGCGGATCCCCGCGGATCACTGACATCCAGGATCAAGAAGCTGTTTCCCAATGGGAAGCTGATCAAAGGGAAGCATCTCTCAAACATCCGAGGCTCCGTGACTTGGGCAAACCGTTTGTTCAGATGTTCAGACCCCTTTTTCTGGTCAGACAACCCCCTTCTGTCGGAAGCCATTCGCCCCGATTCACACCATTCGCCTCGATCTGGTTTCGTTTGGTCGCTTCTTGATTCAGGGCATCCTGTGCTAGGGGTTGTTGATCAACCTCCTTGTGGGAGGTACTGCTACGACCAACCAGTCATCAATAAATGCTGATAGTGACTGTTGATTGATGAAAGCCCCAGTCTCTATAGAGTGGTTTTACATCTCCCGGCTTGGGTGCATTTGATCCATCAACCTCATCAACCGTCTACATGATGGAAGACCCCCCGAAAACGGAAAAAAATAAGAAACGGTGGTCTTCTTCTTCCAGTTCCACATAGGAAGGTGGAACCCAAAAAGAGTAGCCAAGGATGGGCGTCCATCGAATCATGGACGTCCTCGCGTCCGAACTCGCGGCGCTCTTCCACCCGACCCACCCGCTCCTCGACTCGCTTGGTCGTCACCTCGACTCGGTGGCACGAACCTCAGCCGGCTGTGCGGTGCCAAACACATGGGACTGCCGTTCTTGCCTGATCAGTTGGGGCTGGTTGACAAGGGGGATTTAGGGTTTAGGGTTGGCATGTGAGTTCCAGTCCAGAGTGTGGCTGGGTCGTGGAAGAGGACGTGAGTGTTCCCCCCAAAAAGGAAGACTACTGTCATCTTCCATGCTTCTTGCATAGCGGGTATATAAGCTTTACAAGGGCTCTTGGAGGCACTGGGAAAGGGCACCTGAAAAAGCTGTCCCTGAGAGGGTGACCTCTCTCTATGCACGTACGAGGTGTGATATATTTGTTGTGCTTCGTGCGAGTTTCAATCAAGAAATTAAGAATGAGTGAGAAAATACTTCCCATACCTGGATCTTCCAACTATGCACAATTTCTGCCCTTTAAGCTGGTTTTATGGATGAAAAGGCAGAAATTTGGCATAGTTGGAAGATTATGGAAGATCTAGGTATGACTACTAGCCATATTCAAATCAGACAGACCTTATATATAAATTGCCTTGAAGGGTTGCAAAGTCTCCGTTGGATCTGCATGTTTAAAGCCCTACCTCCCAAGCTCAGCTTCCAGCGTGAAGGATGTGGCACCTGTCGGTGAACGGGCTTGGCTTCGGCCCACTTGGCTTCGGCCCAACCCAAACACGAGACCGGACGAACTCAGAGTCACCTCCTTTTAGAGGTTGGGCCGGAGTCACCCAGGCTAGCGGCTAGAACCACCGAAATCCATGGAAATCCGTGGGGATTTCAAACCCAGCACGGTCTTCCCAAGGCTGTCGAAGAAGCTGTGGCCCCGATTCATCGACGTCGGGAGCGCTTTTTCTCACCACATTGACGTGTTCACAACATCCCGGCGAGCTCGTTTTCTGGTGTCTCGGTACCGAACGATGCCGCAGATGGCTGATCCCTAGATCTTCCTATGCCAGATGTCTGCCTTTTCATCCATAAAACCAGCTTAAAGGGCAGAAATGGTGCATAGTTGGAAGATCCAGGTCTCTACCATTCCCTGCGCCACACCTCACGACGAACCGATGCGATCGGTTTGGCGCCTTGAAGTCGCGTTTCTTCTCTTTGGCGCCTGAGCGGTGTGGGTAGGGAACCACCACCGTGTCGCCACCAGAACAACCGAATGTCCAAACAAATACATCAATCTATTCTCAAACAACACAAGACTTAATTACTGTAAGGTGCTCCCATTTGGATGTTCCAAGCACTTTGTTTTCTTCCTTGAACCTTCCATCGCTGCAAAGAAATATCCCTCATGTGCCCCGGGCATTTCAGTTCCAAGGCTTTGGGCTTTGCTTCGTCATGGTGACGCCCTTCAAGGACCTCCGGTTTTGGGGACAACCCCGAACGAGGCGAACGAGGCGAAGCATCCATTCATCACGTTCGTTCTTAGAATGGAGGGTGGGTGTTGGGAGGATTGGACTATGCTTGACACCGCTGGATGGCCCTGGTATCGATCATACACACCCAATGTTTTTTCCTGATGGACCGTGCCAGGAATCGATGGCGGGGCCGGAGAGATGTGCGGGGCCCCAAGGTCCACATCGGTCTCCACCCCTCAGTCCACCCCTCACCGATATGACGATGACCTCCAACCTAGTAGCAACGGCCTCCGAGCCAATAGCAACGGCCTTAGGAGGCCGAACTCCGCCCCGAAAACCCAACTCCGCACCTCACCCAAGGTCCTTCGTCAAAGCTCGACGGCCGCCAAAGACCTCCATTGATGGATGTACCGCGCGCGTGAACAGGTGCGGAATGGTGCGGGGGTGTCACCGCTCGTGGTACGGGGGAAGTGTGGCCGGTTGGGTAGACTGTTGATATCCTTTGATGATCCTTTGATGATACCTGGATCTTCCGACTGTGCAGAATGTCTGCCTTTTCATCCATTAAATCCACCAAGTTAGGCATACATTTTGCACAGTTGGAAGATCCAGGTATGTCAACCCACCCATTTGGAGTGTGAAATATCATCCACCGTAGCGTCCTCCAAACCGTCCACCTTCCCATTGAGCCAGTTGATACCACATAAAAGAAAACAAACAACATGAGCATAGATGGCAACAGATCTTCCCATTGTATGCAAAATCTCTGCCTTTGGGCTGGTTTGTTTGATGAAAAGGCCGAAATATTGCAGACCTGCAGAAGATCTTGAGAGGAAATCGGAGGACTTGGTTGATCCTCAACGCTCTTTTCGGGCGTCAAAGCGGTCAACTTCGGAGAAAAACACTGATCCCATGCAGCAAATATAGTCTCTTCCAAAATACGTACTAGCTGGTTTCTTTTGGAAAAGTCTTCAGACTTCGACCTGACGGTCGTCCAGGATGAAACAGAGGCACCAGACGCATGTGAGGATTGTTTGAGGCTTTAGTGCCATTGTTTGACGGTCCATTCCTTCGCGAATTCCCGGGGTCTGGGGAGGTTTGTGCACGCAGCGAACACGACCTGTCAGTGCCTCAGTGTGTCAGTGTAGAACCCCGCACACCAACCAACAGGCTTGATCGTCCAATGGTCCCCTTTGTGGGGTGGTTCCACTCCTTTGGTCTGCCCGTTCCATGCTCCGGTCCGTCCGGTCCATACCGTCCGGTCCCGAGAAGAAGGGCGAAGCCGGTGGACGTGGCTCGTCTCCACATCCGATCAAATCCACACTGTTCAGGTCTCAGAGCTCGGGGGTGGTGTGGCTCGTCCCTCCAAGAGAGGTCTTTGGCGACCTGAACGAGTCGAACCCGTCACTTGGGGTACCCAACTGGGATAGCCTAGTTCGGGTGCCTCAACCTCTGTTGGCTAAGTGAGTGGATGTGACAGGGGCACCCCGGAAACGGCACCCTCCATGGAGTCCGTCTCGTGACTGCTGGCTGTTGGGTCTGAGCTGGGTCGATGGGCCGCCTTCGAGGCCTATCGCCGTGGCGAGTGCTGCCGACGGAGTGTATGTCCTTTTAGTCGACTCTTGCGAGTGCCGAGTGCCGTGCTTTCCCAGACAAACCAACAAACCAAGTCGAATAGCAGCAGCTGCTCACTGAGCAAAAGCAGGTCATGGATGGTAGAAAAACCCAAGCCGAGTAGTAAGCGCAATATATAATCAACCCTACGGGAACAAGTGTTAAACTAAAACTGTGCTTTTTTGACAAACCCCGCTCAAATTCACATCGTTCATCCACGCCACCTCCGCACTCGCCAGCACCAGCGGTGGAAAAATCCATGCGGTCATGGACACTGCGCCACCCGTGGGCACTGCGGGTGGGGCTGGACCAGGTCTCCTGACGGCAGTGGGCACTGCTAACAAGCACTGGTCCCAAAAAACGTGTATTTCTCTAATATGACACGTCCTTGGACTAATTTGTAACCCAAATCGGCGTCCAAGGCACCTTTTCCAATACTTCCCAAAACATCGATTTTCCGTTGAAGGAGGTCTACCACCTTCATTGCAGACCCAGACCTTTGAACCCAGGTTAAAGTGCCACGGGTCTCCTTTGACCATGACCAGTCAGAAGCCCTGTGCCAGCCATCCTGCGGGAGCAAGAAAAGCGAAATCCGAGACTACAATCACACACCGTTTTTGCAATGTTTTATGCTTGGTGCTGCCACCTCGCAGCACCCAGGTGGCAATTTTCCTCCTTTGAACAAACCTCTGTGCAAAGCCATGTATATAGCAAGCGAAACTGTTGCTATCGCAAAACCTGGAAGTTCCAAAGTAATAATCTTCACTATCATTGCCTGATCATCCGCTGGCCGCTTTGTCCATGCTGGGCAATGCGAATCAATCAGCGTCCAAGTACGCGCACAACCAAACGCCGATCCAAAGGCACACCAGTGAGAAGTAATGAACTCCTATAGCTTGCAGCTATCTGCCCAGAGGAGCGGAGAAGAGAAAAAGAAACACCATGGAGTTTGTCGTCCAGAAAAGGTATATACCGACCCTGGGCCCGAATACTTTGGAGGGGTCGGACCCGAATCCTTTGGAGGGGTGGCATCGAACCAATCCCTAGGTTTTGAGGGACCAGGAAAGGGCTGTTTGGAGTGTCTGTGTACTTTAAAAATGATTTATGATTTATATAAACATCGTTAGAAACCCTATCAACGTCTCCTTCTCTCGCCCTCAACATCCATAAAACACAGCACCCTCCAAAAGCTAAGCCACGGCTCGCCACAGCTCATTCCGGGCCTTCTTTACCAGGCTGCTGGTGTTTGGCAAAGAAGCATCGACCGCCACTGAGTGGTCGACAAGTGATGATCATGGTCATCCGAGTCGTCGTGTTGCCCCGCCATCCACGGTTTTTCGTATCACGATGGTTCTATTAATACACCCCCCCATATCTAAGAGGATCTTCCAATTCAAATGGCTGGGGTTCTGGTCCTCAAGAGTCTACATGACCGGCTTCTTCCAAGCCAAGTTGGCTCTCCCTCGGTGTCTCCCTCGGGTCCCTCGCGCGCGTCGTCGTTGCTCGGTCCCAGCTGGACCATCGCTTCCAGTGCGCGGTGGATCCCTCGTCCTCCGGCGAAAACGGATTCCGCGCGGGGCACGGAGAAGAAGCATCGGAGGGGTGAGCGGTCGCTGGACTACGTGTGGCTTCTTTCCGAGCGTGGGGACCCGGTGACTGAAGCAATTAAGAGACATGACACCCAGGAGTCACAGGGCTCGGGGTGGTGTGGCTCCTCCCTGTTGGTGTGGACACCCCCCCACGTGTCCAATTGAGCACCCCGTAGACGGTGACTGCTGACTGCACTGAAGTTTCAGAGAGCCCTTCAATGAGAGACGAGATGTTTGTGGGATGTGCAGTGACTCTCAAACAACCGTTTGAATTTATAGGGGGGAGTTGAAATATCATCAATCTACATTGAAGATGTAAGATTCCTGGGCAACATTCTGAGACCCAAAAACCTTCCTGGTTTGAAAACGACTTCAAAGGCCCCTGTGACGCCGGCTGTCCTCGGGCCAAGCCTGCCAGCTGGTCCAGCTCTGGTTTGGAGGCCGTCCTGCCCGTGACGCTTTAGAAAAGGATGATTCTTCCACAGTCCCAACCACTTGTGATCTCAGATTTTTCGGATGAAAGAGGGCGCATGGTCGTCAAGCAAGCAGTGATTGAAGAACTGCCAGAGAACCACTCGAGCAGCTCCATGTTTGTTGGACTCATCGCATTGTCAATGCGACTTGAAATTGCCAAGCGTAACCCGCAGGAAGAAACACTTGGATCATCAACAACCTTGCGAAGTGGAGCCATCCCTCAAGAGATGTGTGCTTTGTGAGCTGAGAGACTTCTTTGACTGAAAGAGGTCGCGACACCGAAACCAAACTCGAGGGAGCCTCCCCTGCCACCTCTTTCGTTTTCCGGTTCTCCCTCCCTTCCCCCCAATGCCCCTTTCACCCCGCCCCGCTCCCCCAAGCGCCCCACCAGTCACCGGACCCTCTACGCCCCACCGTCCTGGACTGGACGGGAGCGACGCCCGTCCCTCCTCGCGCGTCTCGTCGCGCGGCCTCGACGCGGCGCGCAAGGCGGGGGCTTCGCGTCGGACGTCGAGCATCGACCGGCTGGTCATCGGTTGGCGAAGCGAGAGGGGCAGAATTTGGTGCTGCAGCGCCCTGTGTTTCGGTGTCGAGTCTACAAGAGTCCCTCTTTCGGATGCCAGTGGAATCGTAACAAGCCACAATGTCCAGGTCTAAACAGAATCGGTCAACATGGAACGTCCGTCATGGTGCGGGGAAGATGCACTTGATTCAGCATGATGCTATTTGTGGTGTCGATGACACAGGTTTTTGACTCTTGCGCACGCCATCGACGATTGTCTGTAGCCGCTATTCTAATTACTAATTCATGCATCGGCTTTGCGACGGTTACCGTAGTCTTCCCCCATGTCCGCTGACATATTGAAATCTGCCAGCAGTGGCTCTATCTCTTCGAGAAAGGCCGTTGGTTGAGGGGCTACCTCGCCGTCAAGAGGTTGACTCTCGGAAAGGATCTTTGCCAGAACTGCACAGAAAAGTGGCGGATACTCCTTCAAAGGAGCAGTGCGCCACTTGCGCTCAGCATCAAGACCTATCACTCCCTTCTTAGGGAGCGCCGTAGACCTCGCGGCCAACAAAAGCTCTTCACAAGACTCAGTGGCATTCACAACGAGCAAGTCTGTGGGCTTGACAGCCTGTGCAGCAAAATGGCCTTGGCAGACCCTGTGTTTGAAGCATCGCGGAAAACGAAGCAGCGTCTTCACAAAATCTGTTCGCCACACAGACACAGTGTAAGGGCAAACCTCGTCCTCTGCGGGATGCTCCATCAATCCAGTAGCGCCAGTGATCAACGCAACGACCAGCAGCCGTAACGTGACCCCCAACAGCCGGCTCCCAAACGAGGTTTGGCGGTCCTCGCTAGCTGTAAGCTCCGGCTTTCCAAAGGGATAGCGCAAACTCCGGACAATTCGGGGTCCAGTATTGCCGTCTTCCAGGGCAACCCCCCGAGCACGGCTCCAGGTCTCGCATGGCGGTCCCCCAATGAAGCCACTGAGGAATCCATCATGCATCGCTCTCATGAAAAGTTCGAATGTCTCTGGCCGACATAAATCCCCTTTCGTGGGGTGAAAAATAATATCGATCGAAACAGCAAGGTGTCCTAGAGTTTCCAAGCAGCTTTGCAAATCTGATTCTCGCCGCCGTCCTGAAAAAAGGTGAGCAAACACTACTGGCCTGTATACCGGTGTTCGGTATCGCTCAAAGCGAAAGGGCTCAAATGAGACCGAATGCTTGGCAAAGAACTCATGAGCTCGTCCTGCTGTCACCATTGGTGCTCCACCCATCCCAGTAAGCCACGAAAAGGAACACTGTTGCAAAAACGATTCCAAAGCAGCAAGAAAATAGATTGGTCGTTCGAAGGCTTCCCAATCCATCTGTAGGACCCATTCTTGGAAAGCTCGTCTAATTTCACCAAGCGTCAGGTATGTGAAGCACGTAGCCTGTCGAAGGTGAAGGCTCCAGAGATCAGGTGAGTCTGCATCCCTCCTAGTGGCCTCTGTCCATCTGCTCCAAAGATCAGCAGCTTCTGCTTGGAAGTGCGGATCACCTCCAATCTGATCTTTGGGGGGTTCAACCGGACCTTCTGCCTGAAAGAAGGGATCAACAGCCTGTCGGTGAATCTTTGTCGCCACCCTACTGTTAACTCCAGGTTCAGGGTCAACAACAACTGCTTTGCTGAGGTAGGCAGCCATACATGTTGTCGACCGCTTCACATGGTTGAAAAGATTCACATAGCTATTGTATTGCTTGAGGCAACTCTCACACTGCGTCCCAGTCACATAGTACCTGGCCGCCTGCTTGCGACCATGTACCTTAAAGGAATGTACCGCTTGAGCGGCCGCAGATCGAAAGACTCTCTTACAGCGAAGACAAAACCATTCTGAATCAGAGTTCTCTGTAGCCACTGGGATGACCTGGTGCTCTTGGAGATATTTAAATGTCCAACGATGCCAGTCATCCCATTCGAACTTTCTTCGTCTGAAGGCCACAGCACGCTTGATAGCTTTCTTCAAAACTCGCTTCCACCAGCCATCAGACTCCGAGATCGCACGCACAAGGTCATTCCATCCGTCAGGACCCCCACTTGGAACATCAGCTTCCGGGCAAAAACAACGAAGCCACTCAAGATCTTCAAGAATTTGAGCATACCATTTCTGTTCCGCCTGAATCAGGCTCCACAAGTGCGGCTGTCCAGCAAAGACCAATTGCCCCAGATAACGCAATCTCGAGAGCTTCAAGACCTCCTCAGCCGAAGGCACCTCAAGAACTGTGAGGACTCGGTCGTGACCCCATTCCACCGCTTGCTTCCCAAAGTGGCACACACAGAGCCTCTTATACAAGCGTTGGAACCCATGGTCGATCTGGTTCCATTGTTTTGAAGTATGGGCACGCCAGAGAGAACATCCAAATATGACAGCATTCATCACTAAGGATTGAAAAAGCTGTACTTTCTTCGCAATCGGCAGGGCCCTATTGGCAAAGAGCTGCGCTCGGTATTTCCCAATGGTGTCATGCGCGATGGCAAACTTCTGTCTCACGTCCCTCGCTGGTCGTCCTCCTTTCTCCAGAACAACTCCCAGATGCTTATAATAGTGAACCACCTGGATCTCCTCCTCCACAAGAGGAGTGGATAATGGCAGTCGATAGTCTAGGAGGGCCAACCTCCTACGTGCTTGCACTGCACCCTTACCTCGGAGGTCCAATAACATCTCCGTCTTTTCGTGCTTCATATTGGGCTTGAGTCCAGCGCTGGCAAGGTGATGCAAAACCAATGAGGCAACTTGGGGTGCTATCTCCAACATCGTATTAGGACAGTCATGTACCAAGCCCAATGCGATGTCATCCGCCCACACCGGCATGATCGGTCCCAATCTGCACAAACTTGCATGATGGTCACGAAAGGGGGCACAATGACCACTCCACTCAAGGGCCATAAAGGGGAATCTCTCGAGTAGCTTCGCTTCAATATTGCGCAGTATGCGTGCTAGTGCATAACCAAAGCACAAATCCGCGAAGCTGTCTCCAGGTCGCGAGCCACGACGAGTCCATGTCCACTTGGCAGCCCCATTAATCTTGTACCAAGTGTCCCTATAGAACTCTGCAAAAAGAGATTGCAAAAAGGGGGATACCTCCCCTTCAGACAAAGCTGGCGCAGCTTCCACCTGTCGAGCAAAATCTTCATAAGCATCTGGTGGCAATCCTAGAGTGTCGAACAACTCCTTAGCTCCTCGTTGATCTGTAGGAGTCTCGGTCATGTGACGTCTCACCAACCGATAAAAGGCATTCTGTATATCGACAAACAGAAATGCAACCGAAGCATGCTGGTCAATTGCCTGCCAATGGAGCAACTGAAGGCAGTGTGTTGCCTGCGCAATGGACTGGCCTCTAATGCCACCAATTTGTAGGGGAGCACGCACCTTATCAAAATGTGGCCCTAATTCCTGACGAAAGATGCTATGCAAGGCCTTTCCTACAACACTAGACACAAACAGACTTCTGTAGTTACAGCATTCCTTGGGATCTCCCTTCTTATACATAGGGACGAGGCGACCCCCTTTATACACCAGAGCTTCATGTTGCATCATCACTTGTTTGAGGATCAAAGGAAAAAAGACCTTGGCCATCATTGCCGGCAACTTAGCTAAGATGTCGCCAGGGATTTGATCGTCGAAGAAAGCTTTATGGCGGGCTGTGCGGCGGAAAGCGGCCTCGAGTTCGCAGACTGTAGGGAGGTCTGTCCACTCTGGCCATATCGCAGGCAGTGCAGGCTCCCTAACCGTTCTCTGCAACATATCCGAGACTGTGACCGCAACACCATCCTCTTGTTCAGCAAAGTGGGAGCGCCACTGCTCGGCAATCTCTGCCGATGATAGCAAAACCTCACCTTGCTTATTACAAACAATGGGCAGAGGGGAAATGCCGCTAGGTTTCTTCTTACTTTGGATGCCAAGTTGTCTCAGCCTAGAGGCAAACTGCGCAGCAGGAGCCCGAACTGCCTCCTCAGCAAGCTTTGTCAAGGCTGCCACACGATCCCGCCTCAATGACTTTGTCAGTTTCTTAGCCAATCCTCCAATGCGTTTCTGCGTGTTGATGCATCGAAGGAGCGCACTCAGGACTTGCACCACTGGCCCATGTCCCCAACAACTTTTCTGGCTCCAACAGCAAAAAGCCCCACGCAGTGAGGCTTCATTCAAGAAAGCCCGGAAGTGCCGCAGCGCCCCTCGTAATGAAAGCCGTTGTGCACGAATGTCTCAGGTATCATCTTGGATGTACCCTTTTCTCGGCCTATTGCCTTGGAGAGGAAAATTTTTGATCAGTGTTGCTGAGACCCATTCTGAAAGCTGTGTCGCATGGGAATCAACATCAGCCCTCCAACTGATTTGTGGCGCTAAAGCGAACATCTTTTGCAATTGCTCAGTCGGACACTGCAGAAGGGCTTGCCGATCACATCTCGGCCAACCCCCCAGCCTGAGACCTTCGACTCAAAAGCACCTGAACATCAGCCACCAATGGAATGTGGTCGTGGCCAGCATTTCCAGAGTCGACATATGGCTGCGGATATGATTCAATCCTACCACGAGACCACTCGCCAGGAAGGATAATACAATCACATCGCGCCGGCTGTCCATTAGCTGGACTTACCCATGTATGCGTGTGTCCAGAATGGAACTGCTCAAAGGTGGATGGCGAAAAGGCCTGTAACTTCTGCACAAGCCGCTTGAGATTATCTCCTGCTGCATTCGGCTTTGCTTCAAGTCCAAATTCACCAAGATGGGGCAAACATGCAACATCAACATGAGCATTCCCATCAATACCGCCTATGAACAACGGCACCTCAGCTGTCCATCGTTCAAGCTCAGAGGTCAACTCAGCCCAGAATGTTTGTAACTCATCAGGGGCAGATCCACTGTGCGGCGAATGCGCTGAAAAGATCAACAGATCAAACTTCTGATACGTGGCCTTTAGGATCAGTA